CCCGGGTGCGGCGAGCAGGGCGCGGCGCGCCGCGCCCTGCTGCGGGGCACCCGGGGCGGGGTGGGGCCGGGAGGGGAGGGGGGGGGGGGCGACCCCTTCCCTGGATGACCCATGGGCCCTGAGGGCGTCCCCTCCCCCCCCCCCCCCTCGTGCACGCTGTGCGTCCGTTCGCTCGCCTGCGCGGTCGGCTCGCGCGTCGTGCCCTTCGATGCGCGCGCGGCACACGTCCGAGCACGCGCGCGCGGTGCCCGCGCGCGGCGCGGGGCGGCGCGCGCGGGCGCCCCGCGGGGCTACGCGGACAGACTGCGTCAGGCCCGCAGCGCCGGGGGGGGGGGGGGGGGACCCCGGCCCCCTCGAGCTATAGGACTCGGCACGAGGGACGTGGGTGCGGAAAGGACGGGTGCAGTGCCGAGCAGCAGGCCCTGCTCGTGGCGAGCAGGGCTCGCTGTGGGCGTCGCCGCGGCCTGTGTGTCTCGGGTCGGGCGAAAGGGGGGGATAGCAAAGGGGGGGTTTGAGAATCAGCTCACGTAGCTGATTTTCCCGGCGCCTCCCGGCGCCAGAGGCGCCCATGTATCGAGGAATGGGCCCCTCGGTGGGGCCGAAACCAGCTGCATGCAGCAGATTTCGCAACCCCCCCTTTCCCAATCCCCCCCCTTTCGCCGCGGCCTGTGTGTCCATTCGGGGCAGAAGGCCGCCTGCCCGACAGCGGCCGCTGTCGGTTCGGGGCGACAGTCGCTGTTGGGCATTGTGCCCCTTGTTTCCGTGCCCCTGTCGGGCGTCCAAGCCCCGGGAGGGGAGGGGAGGGGGGGGCCGCAGGCCCCCTCGAGCTAGGACGGAGTCATGGCGGGGAGTTTGTCGCTGCTTTCGGCTTGTGGAGGACGATCAATGGAGAGGAAGCATGTTGCCAAATAATTTCCAGATGTCTAGAACATGTGTTAAAACTGTCATAGAAATATAAAAACCATGTTTAAAAAACATATGTTCGGGACATTCTCCTTACATTTGAAACACTTTTTTAATTCGATGATAGGACTGTTAGGGTGTCCATTGTCGTGGCATCCACAACTTTCGGCCCCTGCGGGCCCTCGCCAGGCCCCAGGACCGTCAAGAAACGAGTCGGGACGAGAAGCCGGCCCGTGCAGGAAAGAATCGGGACTTCCGGGGACGCCGTCCTGACCAAATCAGGACGTCGCGTGTCTGGGTTTGGGAGCCCCCGAACCAGGGGGTGAGATGTCAGGTGGTGATCTGGAAGCCCCCGAAAAGTCACTGCAGGGGCCTGGAACACGGGGTCACCGCCGGGTTTCGTGACTCCTGGGCGCACCAACGTCCGGGACATCCTCGTAAGACCACACGGGGCCCCGAGTCGGGTGGTGGCACCGCGTCGCCCGAGACTCACCAGCGGGGTGTCGTCGCCACCGCGTCTGGGGACTCCCAAGGGAGGGGGGGTCGGAGGCCAGAGGCGGCGGGGCGAGGGAAGAGGAGGGCGGCAGAGGAGGGAGGGGGGAGGAAGGATGAGGAGGAGGAGGAGGAGGAGGAGGAGGAGGAGGAGGAGGAGGAATGAAGGGTATCTATTGTTCGTTGGTGTTTAGTCGCTCCGCTCACTCCGCCGGCCCATGTTGCATCACTGTTGCGTGGTGGTGTGCTCGTGCCCGGGGGGAACGGTCGGGCAGGCAGGACGGTCTACGAGGAGGTCTTTGGATATGTGGCTCGAGATCCGATAGACTGCCACAGAGGGCGCCAAGATGGCCCAAGAGAGCTCCGGCAGAGTTTTGAGACGTACCTGGGTTGTGAGTCAAAGTCCTTATGGAAGCTTCTTGGGGTCTTTGGGTCCTCTCTGGGCTTCCTGGGGGCCTGTTGTGAGTCTTGGGGGCCTCATCTGGGGCCTTTTGGGTGCCTCTTGTAGCCTCTCGGGGGTCTCTTGCTTCCTGGGCACCTCTCGGGGCCGATAGCTAGGCTGTTTGGAGCCATCTTGATCCATTTGGGGGCAACCCTGGAGGCTTTTTGGGCCGTCTTTGAGCGATCTTGGGACCTCTTGGGCCGTCCAGGGCGGTCTGCCATTCGAAAATGCGGTACCGCCAAAAGCACCCGAAAACCTAAGCAAAATCAATGTTTGCCTCTTCGGGGCCTCTCGAAGTCCTCTTGGAACCCTCCTGGGGCGCCTTCGGCGCTTCTTGGGCTGTCTTGGGGCCAACGTGGGCCATCTTGGAACACTCTTGGCCCGAGGCCGTGGGGCGTGCCAACTTTTTGGTGACTCATTGGGGCGCTTGGGGGGGGCTCTGAGGCCGCGCCCAAGAGTTCCGGCATCTCTGGCCCGACCTTGCCGGGACCTTGCCAGGGTACTTTTCGTCCGGGGACCCCAGAAATCTTACCGGAGATTTTGACACGCCAGTGGTCCGTTGGGGTGTGAAGGGTTTGTTTGCATATTTTAAAAAGTTCCTTTGATAGCGCGTTGTTAGAGGGTTGGTAGAGGGCCACCGAAGAGTCCCACTGTGGGGAAGGGCAGGGAGCCCTCCGGCAGCTGTTTCG